AACATTAAGCCCTATGTTTACAGCTTACGCGAGGGTATTACGGAATGGTTGGAATTGAGCATGGAGCAAATTGTTTTCTTCACTCACCTACTGAAACGAAACTTTGGGATGTGTTTTCAAAAAACCCAATTTGAGCGACTACAGCTCGGTACCACTTTGGTAATAGAAATTTCTTGAGCTATCGGAGATGTTTGAAGTCACCAAACTATGAAAACATTGTATTTCCGGTATATATCCACCATCTTTGTTTTTTTTTTGACGTTAAAGACGTACACAGTCATTTCTATTCTGAAATTTTTTTGCGTCATCCAAAGAATGTCGCTCTCACCATAATCGTCATTCCAAGTTTTAAAGGAGTTTGAATGACTTTATTTTTTGAGTTCAAAGCTCATATTATGATAATTTGGTGGCTTAGAATTAGAACGGGGAGTAAAGGTATCACATTAAAAAGTTCCTATCTAGAGAGGACCCAAAGTCAAAATCGGCTTTCCATATGAAATTTATACCAATTTGACGAGCATCAAACGCTGATTCAAAAAGCGTATCTGTTTTTTATTGATAAGCCCCTCTAACGCTGATTATGAGTATTTTTTTTGAGGGAAGAATGACAGCAAAACCTAGGTAAAACTAATGGTTGGGCTCTTTCCAGCTCAAATAAAGAAGTGTTGAGTGTGAGTATATTCGAAAAAAAGGTTTTCCTTGCATGAAGTGCTCTGAAACACCACCCTGGGCCATTTGCGCAATCAACTTAGCCAGCAATGTGAAGATTCTATGCTCCGATTGCTAGCCTGCCCGCAGGCGGGAATTCAAATCGCAGTGCAAGAGGAAAATAACAAAATAGGCTCGTTTTCAATGCACAAGTAACGATATGGCACCAAATTTGCTGTATAGTTGGAGGACCATGAGCACAAAAAAGTATGAAGAATTATGAGAAACGTATGTGAATTTAAAAAATGGTAAGTGTTTTTCGAAATTAGGTGGCTCCCGCGCCACCTGGGAGCAGCCTGGGGTGGCTCCCTGCTTCCCTTCACATAATTTCCCGGATTTCTTTACATAAATGTGGACTAGGTCGAGGGTATTACTATATGTTCAAATCCGCTTCCAAAACCACCAAGACACCGCTTCGATACAGCCCCAAATAGGGTTCACAGCGTTATGATCGGCCTCGGAAAGCGCGCAATCGCAATCGGTTATTGTAAATTGTAAAGTTTCGCGGCTGACTAATAAATGAGTAGTATCTTAGATATATAAACGTCAAAGTTTGTGCAAATCTTGACCCTATGTTTTTTTTATAGATTCCTTTGCGGATGAACCCATTGAGCCCCATTGAGCTGAAACCTTGAAAACATATGCTTTCGGCCTCGGTAGATGGTTTTAAGCTACCCTTCGAAGCAATTCGTGGAATTCTTCTATCGATTTAATGATTTTTGGCACCTTGCAAGGAAAGTGAACACTTACCAGCCGCTAACAAACTGCTTGCACATTTTGGTGTGAACAATGCAGTGAAGTTCATTTCCATTTTGAAATTAGAAGGTGCAGTCACTCCAATAAGCCTTTCTGGGGTAAGCTCGTGCAAGAGGGTAAGGGGGAGGGCTGCAGTGCAGTATTGATACTGCAGAAAAGGGGTGGAGAATATGGCCCAAAAGGACGGGAAGGTAGAAGGACAAAGTGTGGTTTTTGGCCATCCCCTCAAACGATGACCCGGGCTGGACCAGGAAAGCCAGGTAGTACTACTATAATAAGCGCTGAGGCCGCCCATCTTATTATTTGTGTATATCTGTTTGTCAAGGACTTACGGGGTCAAAAATAGGGTCAAAGGGGAAGTCGTAAGAAATTTTGGCTTCAAAGGGGATATCGTTTTCAAAATTCTGAAATGCCACCTCCTGCCGGGCCCTGGGCGGCAGGAGGTGGCACGGGCTACTTTTTTTTGGCAGTTAGTTTACTTACATAAAAAAGTGAAAGCTTATCGCGTTTTGTCCGAATAGTTTTCCCATAATTTATTTATCTTATATATAAAGCTGAATGTCTGTTTGTATGTATGTCTGTCTGTCTGTATGTATGTATGTCTGTGTGTACGTATGTTCCGAATAGAAAATTCCATTTCTGAACCGATCCGGACCAAACTTGGCACACATACACTTCGGGCCCCGGCGGGTGTCATAGGCTACTTTTCGTCATCGATCGATATCGATTTTATCGATTTTTTTGCTGAGTTCACCTACGGGGCTAGGAGTTGGCACAGGGGGGTAATCGAGCATGGGGATTCCGAATACAATATTGGTTTTCAGGATTATCGATTACTTTTATTGATTTTATCGATTTTTTTGTAAAGTTTGACCTGCGGGGCTGGGAGTTTGCACAGGGGGTAATCGAGCATGGGGATTCCGAATACAATATTGGTTTTCGGGATTATCGATTACTTTTATCGATTTTATCGATTTTTTTGCAAAGTTTGAGCTAGGAGGCTGGGAGTTGGCACAGGGGGGTAATCGAGCATGCTGATCACCCCCAAGGGGGGTAATTCCAGCCCCGTAGCTCAAATTTTGCAAAAAATCGATAAAATCGATAAAAGTAATGGACGATCTTGAAAACTAATATTGTATTCGTAATCTGCATGCTCGATTATCCCCTGTGCAAACTCCCAGCCCCGCAGGTCAAACTTTACAAAAAAATCGACAAAATCGATAAAAGTAATGGACGATTCTGAAAACTAATATTGTGTTCGTAATCAGCATGCTCGATTACCCCCTGTGCAAAATCCCAGCCTCGCATGTCAAAATTTACAAAAAATCGATAAAATCAATAAAAGTAATCGATAATTCTGGAAACTAATATTGTATTCGGAATCCCCATGCTCACTTTCCCCCCCCCCCCCCTGTGGCAACTCCTAACCCTGTAGGTGAATTCTGCAAAAAAATCGATAAAAATCGGTAAAATCGACATCGATCGATGACGAAAAGTAGCCTATGACACCCGCCGGGGCCCGTAGTGTATGTGTGCCAAGTTTGGTCCGGATACGGCGGAGCCGGGTAAGCCAGCTAGTTTATTTAATAAAATAATATAATCCTGTTAAACGAGCGCTGAAGCTTATCATTTTTAATACAATGCGGTTATGCAAACCGAAACGCGAACGCAAGGAGGGTAAGTATTTGCAGGTGATGAGAAGTGCTCCCACGCGGGCATCTTTGACAAAGCACGCAACTCCCCACAATACAGCCATTACAGATTTCTACCAGCTATCGCGTGGGATGAAACCTATTGGCAACATCTAATCCCAAAATTGTTGCTCCAAGGTGCTGGCGAGAAGAATCGGATTGGAACAGACAAAAAAATATTGTGTAGAAGGAGGACGAAATGATGAATTTATCACATTACGCTGGCAAAGGCCGAGCGAAACCGTGCTCTTAGCTAGTATTCAAGTAAATCTCAAGACGTGTAAGGCTCCGATTGTTTGCACACTATAGAAATGCTGGCGGTGGTACAATTGAGCTAAAACCTTGCATACACAAAATTTCGACCTCGGCGCAGATTGTAGACTACTTTTTGGAGCTATTTTCTGGTTCCTTCCAGCGATTTATATTTGCTTATGTAATTATTTTATAGGAAATAAAGCTTATCATGAATTAACCAAGCATTTTCCTACAATCATGTAAACGAAGCGGTGAAGCTCCTTTCAGTTCCAGATGACGAGGATGCGGTGAGGAGCGAAGTTGTCAGGTGAGCCATCCACAACATGGATTTGGAATTGCAGCAGTAAGTGTGTTGGCATCCCATAGAGCTTTACTTCAACCCCGGTGGTATACCATGGCATGGGCTGAGGCAAAGCCAGCCTGTGTTTTGTGTTTTTCATGGTCGTTTCGTAACATGTTCATTTGCTGAGAACCCATCATCGAGCAACTTGCAGAAAGTCGTCTCATATATGACTCCTACTCCCCCCCCCCTTGAGCACATCGGCCTACGACATTGGCGCTGCGCTTGCACTACTTTTGGATTATCACCAGTATGCGCTCATTTTGAACAATGACCTAGGTGCAAACCTTTAGAACTCACAAATAGAGGCTAGTGCACATCAAAAGCTTGTCATTTTACTGGAAGGATGTCTTTAGCATTGTGTTTGTCTCCCGCATACTACATCAATCGCTTCAACATTGGCTCCACATGGAAGAGACATCTGCAATGCAGTGTCGCTGCGCGATCGTAAATGGGTTTGATAACGCGTGCGCACCCAAGTTCGGCGTCGAAGGCATCATGGTCCTGCGCAGCGTGTACCTTAGTCGAACTTCTCATCCGTGCCTTCTTTACAGTGTGACACTCGGGGTATTACCTTAGCCATATGTCTAAGCTCGATGCAATCTGGAGACCTCAATTGTTTCAGAAAGTAAGGCTTTTTATAATAATATTAAACATTTTATTTTTACGAGGTAACACATTTCGACTCCATTATCAAGTATAGCTAACATATAAATGCAAAAGGAAAAGAGAATATCAAAGTGGATATCTTTTTCTATGTTGACCAGACAATGGGCGTTGACATGCAGCGGCGCTATATTGTTCTTTAAGCCTACATTTGAAATGATGGCTTCGCCGTTGGCTGCTGAAGAGTACGACATGTTTGCAAGTAAAAGAAAAATCTAGCTTTAAGCTTATTCTCGCGAATTTGTCCACGGTGATCACTCCGTATATAATTTTTGAGCACGTTATATCAATGCATAATCAGATATGGATAAAGGAGGAAAACTGCCTTTAATACGTTAACAAATTTAACTTTCATGTTAAAAGTTTGTTCTACGAACATTCTTGCTGTATAAATCCTCAGAATTACTCTGCTACGTTTCCGCCTTTATTTCTTTTTGCAACAACAGACCATTGTGGGTGCCATCTCAGCTTTTTTCCACCTGTCGATGGTGTGCTTGATGGATAAAACACAAATACATCTTTGCTCGAATTTATTGACAGTACGCAGAATGGTGTAAAGACTGCTCATCACAGCTGTCAAAGCGTTAGTAGTGCAGCACATAGTGCAGCTGCTTTTTGCATACGTACGCTCTTACATTACCGCTGCACTCAAAGTCGTCCCATCCCAGGTAGATATGAGAAAGCGCGACGTCTGCATGAGGATCACAGATTAGCTGAAACAGAACTTAGTTAGTTGTGCACGCTAAAAAATTGTACTAAATAGGGTAAAAACGTTACATAAGGAAAATAAGAGAGCGAGAATGTGCTAAAACGATAAAGCTGTTGAGCAATTCTTATTGCTCTTGCGCGCTTTCCTCCGCAAAGGTAATGTCTCGACAAATTCTTTGTTACCTTTTCATGTAAGGGGCGCTGTTCTTTTAGAAGGCGGCAGAGATGCGGAAGTATTCTAGGACTCTTTATGGTCATGGCAGTGCACCATGGGTACTTTACAGCTGAAAAAGAAAACCTTAGATGGGCGAGATTGAAAACGCGGAGCAGAAGGAAGCTTGGCCTAATTTCAGTTTATCTAATTGTAAAAAGAAAAAATACTAACTTTCTGAAAACAGCTTGGGGACTCTTTTATAGAAGGGCTTCAAAGTTGAGGGAAGATAAAGGGAAAACGAAATTACTCGAGTTTTAAGTGTTTGATAAGTCGCAACGTGAGAGTTTTCAGTAAGATCCGGAAAAGGCCGAAGCATGAACTCCCTCCACAAAGTTGCTTGAAAAATGAAACAGCTTCGAAAAGATGAACTATTTACATTCTTATATTTCTTTCATCACGATATGCTATTGGGTTAAAGGAAATAATGTAGCACTGCATGTCACAAAAATAGGTAAACATCAAAGCGCAGGAGAAAACCTTTGCTGGGACAAAACAAGCTTTATAAGAAAGCATCAAACATCGGTATCAGCTACATTTGGTCGGTCCAAATTTTGTCAGTTTTTTTGATATGATTAAATCCCGTGCAAGATAAACTTCAAGCTGTACCCGACACAGAATTTCTTCATCTTTTCAGCTGCTATATTTCCACTGTGATTCATAGAGAGTGCTTAAGTAATAGCTGGCAATTACAATTCTCCGTCTTCACCATTCCACTTTCATTGTTTCGATTTTTTCTATTTGGGACTTTTGGAGAAGTTCTAGAAGCCAGCATGTAGGGCAAAGCTTTCGCCAATCAAAGCAATTTTTCTTCTTTTATTGGCTACCCTTTCAGAATTTCGCTAAATAGTTTTTCAGATATGCTGAATTTGGAAAAAACGCACAACTTGTTATCGCATAAAACACTGCAAATCTTCAAAATACTGAGGTCTCAAAAGTCGAATATTACCACTACTAATCTTACAAAGTAAACGAGCAATTTTTGCTCCAAAATACGAAAATTTTGAAACTTGGGTACTTCACCGCGTACATGTGAAATTCAGAAGTACGGATTTTCCATTTCTTGCTGTTAGAAAAAAAGAGAAAGTTGCATCGAATGGTACCCGAAATGCTTACCATTTCATCTTCTATGAGTTTAGCATAAGTCAGATTTAAAATATGGTTTCAAAAGTGTACCTTAGAAATTCTGAGAGACAAGCCGCGCTACAGAAAATTGCCTCACTTGGCAAAAGGTTTGCATTTTCTGGCTGTCAAAGTTCCCCGCAAAGTCTCAGATAAAAATTCTGAAAATTAGCGAAAGTCAGTCATGGTGAAAACGAAAGATTGTAATTTCCACCGATTATTTCAGCACCAACGAATTAAGTATAACCATAGCAGCTGGAAAGAGAAAGAGATTCTGGCTTTTCTTCCTAGTGTGAATTTGAAACTCTAAAAGCGTTTTAAAAGCGCTAGAAATTCGAAGGTAAAATAGAAGGAAGGCATTGCAATCATTAATGGACTCACGTCGTATCATTGTCTCTGCGTATTTTGATACGATCAAGCTACTCGAGGTCCAAAATGGAGATGTATGTAAGGTTCTGATCGTGAGTATATGGTTGTAAATACATTATTTCACGATATCTAAGGTGAGTACCGCTCCCGTCAAAAGATTGGCCGTTAACAAAATGTCGTTATTATCTTGGCCTATTGCTTATGCTGCGCAGTTCTCCACTGTTCCAGCCTTGTAACGTGCCCGTTTTTATGGAATAGATCAACTGCTTTCTCCAGACTTTGTCGTTACTTTTCTTCTCTTTAAATGCTTGAAAATTCGGCAATAAAAATATTTTGTGCACGCTTCACATGCAAGGCAGTTTGTAATATCTTGTGAGAATTTTTTGGAATGACTAAGAACCTCCATATTTTAGATCAGATCACAAAACGTATCATACGATTTGGTTTCAAAAACAACTTATAAAGTTTGCCTTGCTCCAAGTAATGCCCCTCATACATTTATGAAAGTAATCCTTCCTCAACTCTAAGTTATATTGTAAAGTATGTGTTATCTGAATGAAATCCAAAGTTTTGTCCTAAACCTGGCTCTGTTTTTGAAGATTCTAAAAGCCGCTTTCCTTTGGCTGAACTCAAAGAAAGCCTCCGAATCACCTTTTTCTTTCACATCCACTTTTTTTGGCTATTAATGGATAAAGCTGCCAGAAGCGGCAATTTTACGTTTTATTTCTTTTCAAAATTTCCTAAGAATATATTACTACCTAGAATGCTTCTAGGTAATTCCAAAACGTCTGTGAAAAATTCTTACATAAAATATGCATCAATGTGGCAGATTTTGATATCAAATGCAAACGATAAAGTGCGGTTCATGATTATACGAACACCCCATTTCTTGGGAGTTTCGGGACTTTTTTGGAGAAGCTCAATTGACCGCTGGATTGCCTGAAAGAGCAAGGCCGACGGTATACCTGGCTCAAGGATGGGGTCTATCTTAAAAGGTTTTTTTCAAAAAAATTGCTTAAACAGAAGACTTTTGTTGGCTGGAGAAAAAAGCTTCCAAAATCCGAACTTGATAAAAAAAAGGTAATTTTGAGTTTGGTCGTAAAAGCCGTACGTGAGCTTGCTGATTATCAATATAGTAACCGTAAAAATGTAAAAATACTCATTACTTCTTCTGATTTATTCGCCATAGCATGCGAATAGAAAAGCTTCAGCGGTTTCACCTATAACGAATCCAAGAAAATTTAGCCCGACGCTTTCATTCTTAGCTATATTCAACGACACTGGGCTGTTAATCAAAATCCTTGGCAGCCTGAAGAACAGGCGCTGCACAACTCATGTTGAGGTTTTACATCACTGCGAAGCATTACCAAAGCATCAATATGGTTTTTGACGGTGAAAACTTTGAGACCCACTAGGGAGAGTATAAAAACAGAAAAAATGTTGCTTTGCATTGTTTGCAACCTGATATGGTAGGGCTTTTCAACTTATCTAAGGCATAGCTGCCTTCACGGCCTTTTTCCTTGAAGGCAGCGTCCCGGCCACTTTCGGGACAGATCTTAGGGTTCGTAGAACCATTTTTTCGTTCCCAACTCTAAACATCGCTTAAATAGTGGGAATACTTTAACGGTGCTACCGAAACCCGGCGACCTCCGCTTTGTGGGGGCACTGCCTTTGAGATTCTGAAGCTCTAGGGCCGCAAGGAAAACATAATGCCACTCCCCTCATTTATTAATATAAATAATCATTTAACATAAATTTCTTTCTCCTACTCCCAAAAATGAACGTTTAGCATTGATAGTAGCAATGCTTAAGTTTTGAGAGTTTATATAGCTAATGTTGAACAAATAAGCACGATTAAGTGCATGCACTTCGAATAGCATTGGAAGGTGAAGTACTTGCAAGGAATGTTGTCAGCGTCTTTGGCCATTGCTTTTGTTTGTTTTACATTTTGCTCGCGACTGTAATTAAAACTCGTTGTTTGTTCAAAACATACCGTCACACAGTGTTGTATTCCCTTCCAGTCATTAGGTTCACCTGGTGCCCATTTCAGGTAGTCAACCCTTGTGCCGTCAGTCCAGAACCATTCACCGTGTGAATTAGGTTGTTTCAGGCCTATCCAAGTCAAATCATGCCAATCGGTCCATGGTTTACCCATCCTTGACAGCTCTAAAACAAAAAATCGTGCGTTGTAAACGAATAACAAATGAACATACCGGCAACGAAATAATTTTCTGCGTCGCTGTGGATTGAAGCCAAATATGCACCATAATTCCTACATGACCTTTCGGCATCGTACATATTTACCCAGTGTGTGAAAGTCTGTAAACCATTTACTGAACAATAAATATCCAAGGATTGTTATTTTACTAAACAATGACTGTATTTAAGTACAATGTGTATAAGCTTTCGCACAGTTAAATCGTACGCTGCAATCCTAATCTAAAGCTGCGCTCTTCTTTCCACTTACAAAAGCAGAAAATTTGTTGAGTATGGTGCGCAACCGTTGTACCTTATAGGTCCACACCGCTCCCGATCCCCTTCCCCTTCACTGCTTTTTTGTTTATCGCCAATCTTACTTCCAACAATTTACCGTTGCAGGGTTGTCTGCATCAGGAACACATGATTCCAAGCAACCTCATTTGATGAGCTCTAGTATCAATATCTATATGGAACTACGGAAGTGTTCAGGCGCTTGTTGGAAGTAAGTCAAAAACCAAAAAAGCAATGGAACGGCTCAGCAAATTGTCATGGAAAGACCAATACACCGATCGCAACATTGTGTGTGCAATGTTTAGCACTTACCGACTCAAGACTCAAAAAGTACTAGTCTTAACAGGCCTCTTACTTGAATACTGAGTTTCATACACGTAGAGATAATAAAGATGTCGAGTACCTTATAGCAGGCATGCGATTCTTCGAAGTAAGTCCATCCACTTTGACAGCGTCCATAAGCTGAAAAGAATGTTAAGAACAGTGAAGTTAAATATAATGCACGTCGTTAAATCGGCTAAAATTGGCTACACAAGTAGTCTAATTAGATAAGCGACAAGACTGTATTACAAATACGAGCAAGTTGACGGTAATTTATGATTGGAAGGCCAAATTTTTTCCATAGATTTGCAATGTCTCAAGGTCTGCTATAGGCCGTTCGAGCAGAGCGCGGAAATTTATACTGCACGCCACTTCCTTCTCCTTCGCTGTTTTTTTTTTCTGCACCTCATCCAGTCACGAAATATTTCGATGAACGCTACGCGCGACGCGCCGTGCTCTTATGATCTCGTCTACAGTTTGCAAACTAACAATAAGCACTGTTGTTCGTTTATCTTGAGCTCTCTCAAATTCGCTTAGATCTTGTTCGCCAATCTCAGCTTTGGTTTTCCTCTCGGTCTTCTTCCGGCATATTTATATTTATTTATATTTATATTATTTATATTTATATTATGGCTTTGTGGTCTGATGACTGGAACCTTCCGGTAAATCCGGCAAAGACTACAGTAATGCATCTCGGTGACTCTCCTTGTTGCACGTATACTACAATGGTACTGAACTCAAAACGTCCAACCTTGTAAGAGATCTTGGTGTGATGATCGATAAATCGCTTACATTTTCTTCACACATTGATTTAGTCTTAAAAAAATCGTATTCTGTTCTCTTCACTATCTTGAGAAGCATCCATAGCAAAGATCCTGATGTTTTTCTAACGTTATACAAAAGTTATTTCTTACCACTCCTTGAATACGCCTCTCCTATATGGAGTCCTTACATAAAAAAGAGTATCGAAAAACTTGAAAAAATCCAAAAAACTTTTACGAGGATACTTTTCTATAGATGCTACCCAGATCCTGATTATCCGAAATCACTACCTTCTTATCGATGTCGTTTAGAAAAATTAAGGCTTCAGAGTTTGAAACACAGGCGTATCATTAGCGATCTAGTTCTTGGTTTTCAAATTTTACGTTTGGAAACCAAGCTGAAGGCAAGTAAGTACTGGTGTTTTAGACCTTGCAGTCGTCGCACAGATAGGTTTGAATTGCGTTACCGTAAATTAGGAAACAGAAAGCTTTCTATAATGTTTAGCTCTTTTGTTTGCCGCATATCTAGATGGTTTTCCTTATTACCATTAGAATTAATGAATAGCAAAAATTCCAGGATTTTCCGCAAAAAACTCAATGATATTGATTTACTTCGCATTTTGAAAATTCATGACTTTTAGGATCAACAAGTTTGCTGTTTCACACAATATCTGGTCCTTTCCTTCAAAACGTTCGACTGCACACAATCCTCAAAACATTGGCCTTTGTGTAATTCTACACGACACCTAATCCAGAATGCCCGAAGAACCATCGTAATTTATTTTACTGCTGAAAGACTAAGACACTATAGAAAACGTATCACTTGCATTCAGTCAATTTCCAAACTGTATGATTCTACCTAACTTTTTCTGCTAACATTAATTATAGCAGAATCTTGACTACTATTGAATCGTTCGTATTGTTGATGTAAACTGGGGTGAGCTCAGTGATTAACCAAGGCACGCATGGTTTAGCCCATTCGCCTTGTCTCACCCCCCCCCTCCCTTACTTCAAATTCTGTTTGAGGATCATAAGGAGCAGTGCATATAAATTAAACGTTCTAGATGCGGTGCCTCATAAAACAAGGTACCCAGGATGAGCTCAGTGAGATTTTATCAGGGCACGCATGGTTTAGCCCATTCGCCTTGCCTCACCCTTGCTTATCAAATCTGGTAACAAAAAGTGAGATAAAGCGAAAATGATTATGCTTGATTTGTACGGTACCCAGGATCAAAAAAAAACATTAGTCAAAGTAGTCAATTTTACATGCTATAATTCCGATATCATGTCATATTGGTGTGGTAGTGTCAGACTGACTTTCAAAACTGAATGCGACTGTTATCTGAGAACATTCTTCTTTCTTTCAATAATAATGATTTCAGGTTTCTCTCTTGTGTTTACTATTTCTTTTTTGCTCTTTGAATGAGTATTAATTGTGACCTATGATTTGTAATGGCGCACTTCTTGTGCAATAAATATAATATAATATAATATAATATTTGTTGAGAAATTCAATCTAGTAATCCGGCTTTCTCTTTTTCTTTTGCATACCCGTACCCTCTCCTGCATCTTCTTTCAACCCGAAAGAATTGCGTCTTGCTAGGTATCTCTGATGACTTGATCGAGAATGGATGGTGCCTAGCGTCAGTAGTCCAGTGGAGGGTTCTTATCGCCATCACTTTTCGAACATTGACTGCCGTATAGCAGCGTTATGGATCGGACTACTCTGCGACACATCTGTGAGTTGAGATGTAAGGATCTTTTGATGCAAGATTTCGACTGTTCAAACTGCTGGCTCCATGCACATAATTGTTTTCAGGGGTGTTGACTCAATGCCGTAGCGCTCAGTTTATTTCCCACAACTGCACGTCCCTCTCCAGCTTTTCTTAGTTCTCGCCATCGGGAGCGCAGGTTGACTGGCATGTCTTAGACCAAAAATGTCCCTTTTTGTGTTTAAACGCATTAGTGTCTAGGCGATAGGCTGCTCGAAAGCATGTTTTACTACCGACGTGTAAACCTGCGCAAGCCAGAGTACAAGTGCACAGTTCGCTCATATCTCTTCACACAAATTTCTACACTTCTTACCCGAACCTATCCTTCCAAACTTTGAAACGGCGGTGGTGTTCGACGCAGCATGTGACAGCTCAAAGAATACGAAAATGAGTCTTGAGCGTCTGTTTGATGTTTGATGCATTCATGAGCGTATCATAGATGGTGTCGTACGCGTGTTGCGAAGTTAATGGGGATCTTTTGGTAGAAGTAGCCAGTAAAATGGCCCAGCACAGGATGGCAAAAGTAGAGCTGGTAATTGTTTTAGGTGGTAAAAGCAAATTTTGGGAATCCCACAATTCACATTAACAAGTTGTTACACGGTAGAGACGTGCACAAACACAATCTTATGGCGTCATTTCAATAGAGACCAAGTTTTTTGTTCTAAGTGGTGAAATGATTGTCTCATTTAGACCGCATACAATGATATGACATTTTTGGTTTACAGAGAACGAACCTAGTGTAAGGAACTACGGAAAAATTATGTGTTTGAAGGTGCAGCAAGCTTTTTTCTGATAATTTTCAGCGGAGGAAAGTGTAACAATGACTCGCTTACACTCACAGATGAGGATTTGGCTACAGACTTGGCGTGTATATGCGCAGTGGAGAGCAAGAACAGCATGAAATTACATGAAACAATTATGTGAATAACGAACGTGCCCAGTTTTTCTTACAAATTAGGGTGGCACCTCGAAAAGTAGCAGGACTTTAAATTCACTTAATTTTTTCATACTTTCAATATAAATGTTCTCCAGGCGACGTTTAGCACCATTTTAATTTCAGAGCTTCCTCTTCTCTTTGTCGAAGTCCGAAATGCAACGACGCCGTATGCTTAAGAAATACGCGTTCCAGTTGAACTCACGCAACTGGCGCGAACAAGTACGGATTGTAGAATTCGAAAGCAGCAAAGGCGAGCTTGATTCGCGCTTGTTCATTGGCTATCTTCACGCTGGGCCGTACAAAACTGGTGAAGGTCAATACCATTATGTTCTACTTATCGACCGCATGGAAATTCATGACAACAGTAAAGGCTACCGCATGACGACGCAAAAGCACTATTAGTTAAAAGCGAGCGAACGCGAACGCGACGTGCGCGTATTCTCACCATTGTGAATCCTGCGCCTCATACGCTCTGCGGCTAATAAAGAAGCGCTCAAAGAAGAAGTTTTGTCACCTTGGACTTTGTCATGTATGCCTATAATTGAGAACGCTTCATATTTCTGACTGAACTCCTCTAAGATTTGTTTCCAAGTGCGCAAAGAACGAATTTTTTGCTGACCTGCGTTGGAACGCTTGAGACGGGAGAGAATAGCAGACTGCTCCGGACTTCTGTAAGTTCGACATCCTTTGATACGTTTTTCTAGGTATCACAAACCTGGATTTTAGCTGACTGCTGTTTGAATTCAGAAACGCTCCCACCAAGGGAATTAACGCAACAAGCAGAACTTTCATTGAACACGTCCTGGATATTGTTTATTCTATGTAGTTTTTCAAGGTAACGAACATAAGACGATTTGATTGCCGAAAGTTAGAACCCTTCATTTTAACCATGTTTGAATTTCGCTAATTTTCAGAATTTTCATTTTAGATATTTGAAAATGCTTCAATAACCACCTAATAAGGCAAATTTTTTTCAAATTAATGCAATTTTTTGCATCTCTCTGGCATGTTTTCTAGACTTATTAAGATACATTTTCTGAAGTGATCAAATCTACATTTTCTTTGCGAAACATGCGACTTTTGCAGACAAGATCGCTGTACTTCCTAATTTTACGGGTGCGCAAGGTTGTAGCCGAAAATCCAAAATCTATCCAGTTTCAGTAATCGCTCATTTACTTCGTAATACTAGTGGCAGTAATAACCGAGTTCAAGAACTTTAACATTTTGGGAATTTCGCAGTTGTGTGTCACGCGATTTTTTCGAAATTTAAAGCTCTGGTGAAATAAAGCAAAACTCTAAGGAGGAAGCTGAAAAAATGCACAAAATTGCATTGATTTGAAAAAGGTTTGCTTTATCGGGTGGTTATTGAATCACCTCCAAAAGTTTAGAAGGAAGTTCTGAAAATTAGCGAAAGTCAGACATGATACAATGAAGAGTTCTAGTTTTCAACAATTATCTCAGCGCTCGTCGAAACAATCACACAAGAACACAGCAAGGAAGGAGGAAGAAATTCTGCATCGGATACTTTTTCAAGGATTTGTCTATCCTTACTTTAAACGATTTTAAAACAGGCCTAAAAAACGGCACAAACTTTTGGTCCCACCTAATATCTCTGCATCCTACTGTATTTTTAAGCCTCCTCATCCTGTATCTCTCTACCCTAAATTGTCTATACAAGGTAGAAGTCAACTTGAAATACTTTTTTACTTTAACAGTTATTCCTAAAAACAGCTTCCGAAAACTTACTAACTGAAGCTGCTTCGATAAATTTAGGGCTTTTTTTCAAAAATGGAGAAACTGTATCAATAACTTCAAACATAAAGGGCAACTCTGCCTTCATTTATGCGATTTTAAAGTAAAGCGCAGTATTTGCCATGCTTGTGCAGTGTGTCCATCGGCTGCTTTGGGTCAATCATATAACCGGATGTTTCCCTAATCTCTAGCAGTTATCCTCACATAATTTTATTTATCTTCCACGCTCAAATGTCTTTCTAGAAATATCCTGTAGGCGACAGGCGACTTCATAAAATCGTGACGAAGGATTGCCCTCGCTGCCAATTCGCGCCGGACGGCAATGCGACTTAGTTGCAGGGCGATTCGTCTGGATTACCCAAAACACCTCGAGGTAATGGGTTTTCTTGAAATTTTTTTGCTTCTTCTTTGCTTGCATATGCCTCACTACGGCACGGAAGCCTACACTACTAAAAAGCAGGAAATGTAGCGTTTCATTGCTTTCCACCCATCGTTCACCACATTTGATTGCGTGGAGAGAGGTACACTTTCGTGGTTATTGCTCGAATCCTAGTTCCTCGTCTCTTTTGAGTAAGTTTTCTCAAAATTCTATTCTGTCATTTTCATGAAAGCGCTTAAAGGCAGTGGATCGGCAAGATCCAACAACTCAGGATTTCAACGCGTTAGGTTCCTTATCGCCCAAGTATGAGAACGGGAGGCGTGCAAGTGGTACCCGGGCAGCCGACTGCTGCCGCAGTCAGCCGTTAAAGTTGCCGGCAAAGTCGCTGCAGATTGTACAGTAATTACGCTCGTCGTCTAAAACTCTTGCCGATAGGTCTTCTCGCACCTAGTTGCTCTGAGGTGCGATTTCAGCCTCAGGAAAGCGTGATATCCTCGATATCTATATTATTTTGGATCCTTAATTTTCCAATGAAGAATTCTTAGAAGTCAAATTCACTTTTCCATGAACACTTCAGAATTCGAAATGCGGCTATGTGGAAGGATTATTAGAGGTGATTCTTTCAATTTTGAACTTTTATTATCTACAATGAGTTGTGAATTTTTTTCGTTATTATTTTTTTATTTTCTCAAAATACCTGGAGAAATGAACTGTGTAGATATTAAAATAGTACATACTTCCTGGTGATGTTCCTTTTTATATTATGTGGCATGTGGCATATTTTCATCTTTTATTACTGACTACTCAATTTGATTGACCTATTTGCCTTATTTAGCTCGCTTAACACCACTTTGTATGAAATAATCATCTTGACAGAGTTTTCTTACCGTTATATCCATGACATTTTCCTATTATTATTCTCCGTTCTTCGACGTAGAAACGAGAAAAAAATCCCTAGAAATTTGAGACATTTCTGAACTTTTCAGCTTTTGCAAACTTTGAGTTTTTTAGAGTGATTTGAATTTGTGATCATTTTCCTTCAAAAAAAACCTCTTCCCCGTTTGCCTTTGTTTATTTGCATGTTTCTCAAAAACGTGAATTTTCTGCTGTTCAAAATGATATAGATATCGAGGATATCACGCATTCCTGAGGCTGATTTCGCATGTCATAGCGACGAGGTGCGAGAAAACCTTTCGGTAAGAGTTTTGGACGACGAGCGTAATTACTGTACCATCTGCAGCGGCTTTACCGGCAGCTCTGACGGCTGCTGCGGCAGCAGTCGGCTGCCCGGGTACCACTTGCTACGCACCCATGAGAACAGTGCAATCCCGGTTGCACAGCATGCTTTCCCTGCCGAGAAAATTGCTCTCAAACTTACACTCGCAGGCCAATCTTACACACAACTGGACGAGTTGGCAATTTCCTTCACACCATTGGAGGCTGCCCGCCGCAACGCTATAACCATTGGGTCCTGCAACGATTTAGCGTCATCGACCTTGCTCCACTCGTCCAGTTTTAAAGGGAAGGGCATTAAAAAACGCTCATTTTCGACGTTTTCAAGCTTTCAAAAGTGGGTTTTAGGGATCAGCGCATTGAATAACCTCGGGTAAGCGCAAATTTGACTGTGTTGAGATTTGCCGAGTTACTGCCCTGCACCGTCCACCCAAATTGGGGTTGGTCAGATTGTGATACTAGCAGCTGCGGGGCCCCCAACTGTATGATTGCCCAACTTGCGCTGCCTAAAGTTGCTTCCGAAGCGAGAAATTTGCTTCGAATCGCTTTAGATGACGTTCGCCACGTTGGCTCCTCCCCTTTCGGGTAGGCGTACGTTCGTCCCGCCCACCCGTGTGCTCAACCATTCACCTTTCCGAAGAAATCGCTCTATGGATTCTAAAACGGGGGTTTTTCGTGGTTTTCGCGAATTTCCGACTTGATATTCGAAATCAGGAGTATGAGAAAACAACCCTGCCCTGGAACGGCAAAAACATGGAAGTCGAAATTTTGGGTGGACGGTGCCTTTAAGTCAGCTAGCACCAAAGGTTTGACTTTTACGATGTTGTAATTGATGTTATGTTGTGGTTTAGCGATGATATGCTTTGGTTTCATACTTCACTTTACAGAGGACGCTTTTTTTTGCTCATATATTTCTTGCTTCTGCTGCAAACTAACTATCTTTTCCGGCTTTTTCTAGAAACGAACTTTCGTTCCTAGAGTAGCTTGCTGAGATTTTTCTGTTGAAGAACCAACGTTACCGCTAACACTGATGTTGAATGAAATAATTTACAAGCTTTAATTTTCCACAAAAGTCCACCTTCGATTTTTTAATAGCACCAGCAGTGGTAAGTGACACCTGTAACAACATTGAATAAAGACGAAAGTCAAGTTTGTGCCGGCTTGGTTCGATCCAAGTGCAATTGGGGCCAAAATCTAAAGGATGTAGATTCCCGGAAGATCGAAAAAGCGTACTACCAAAAAACCTTTTGGACCCCCAGTTTGCTCAAGGAAATCATTTCGCATCAGATTATTCTCGTAGTGTCTGTTTTTTTTTCATTTCTAAGAATCAAAAAAAAGCAAAAAATTTTATGCTTTTACAAATCGATGCTAAGCTGTTCCCCCACAACTGAATTTATACTGCTAACCTTTGCAAAAACCATAAATTTTCAGCCATTTACAAGGATTACTAGAAATATAAAAATTTGGCATGGGAAATTCAAAACGAGCACCTATGTAAATCCCATATTACTCGAGAATTAAACCATAAATTTTTTGCGGTCCTGATCAGTATACGATGTGTGGCAATCGTGCGATCTCTGAAGGTTTTTTCGCAACTCAGCGCGATAAGGTGCTAGGCTGCATCGAAAATCTCTCGGCGAGAGGTTGTGGGCGAGAGCGCGCTTACGGTAGAGTTGCGGTGTTAGCGCCACTTCTGGCACTGGCTGCGGCATCACGTGGCTGCCTGCATAGCACTCGTTACGCATCCGTTTTAGATAGGTGGAACATTCTAAGATAGGTAACAAAAAGTTCTATCCGTTCCTAATGTTTTGCAGATCCTAAAAATAAGGTCAGATCTCTCGTTTGCCCAAATTTTCCAAAACTAAAGTCCCAACGTGAACACACCGCTTTAGACACATCACAGAGTAATCAAAAAATCATAATCTTTAGGATCTTTAGGAGTGGAACCGATGGTGCTTAGCTGCTTTGAGCGTTCTTGAGAATTGCCCCACAGGTTTTTAAGGAAAACCATTAAATGAAAAACAAACTAGAGTTCCAGCAAAAATGGGGTTATGCTATTGTTCTCTGCACTACATAATATATGAGGTGGACAACGTGAGAAAAAACGCGAAACAATTACCTTTTCTGCTTCTTTCCTGCTGTGCGGTAGTGAGAATGGCACCTACAAGCAAAAGAAGATGCAAAAAAGCAAAACTTAGAAACCCACCGTGCGCCAGTGCTCTCTGATCATTACCTAGCCTTTTCGAGGTATTGGCTCGCACGATGTTGCTCGCCCCAGAATTGGATGGCCTTGCCTGCCGTGCGCACCGGCCGCGATTGCAGACATTCTTCACGATTTTTAGAGTTGCTCATATCTAAGCTGGTGCATGCTGCTATCTTTGATTCAACAGGTTGAGGTTCGTCAGGGCAAGCCGCTCGCGTCCGCGACGCACCTGCGTCTCTCGTGCGCCAGTGCTCTCTGATCATTACCTAGCCTTAATTAGGTCACGAAGCCACGCATTTGCCGAACCTCAGCCAGTTGAATCAACAATACATATATGTCTGAATAGCAGGTCGCTGTAAGTGGGTGGGGCAGATACATTAGTATTTGCTATGTTGGGACTGCATCTAACCATACGGCGTCTACATCTCTCTTCCGAAAAAGCTTGGTAAATAAAAAATCAACCTTTGCATATAACATCCAATCATTTTTTCCAAACACCACAACAAGAATTCAGTTCAACACAGCTTGCTTTTTTCGTTGCTTAGTTACAAGCAATATAGTCGCATTATTAGCAAAACAAACGGATGAATGCTGGGCCTTTACTCCGGGAGCTTATCCATTTTTTGTGACGTAAATCCTTTCCAAATCGAGATTTTCACCGAGTCTCATAAAAATTGTGAAAAAAAAACTTTTTGCTCCAAAAGTGTTCCACAAAAGAGCGTACTTAAACTCAACTAGCAAGACTACAGCTTCCATCTCCAGTAGTAAAGTGAATTTCTCTTTGCAGGATCGATTATCAGATTGAAAAATTTATTCTGTCGTTTATTTTAGTTCCGGGGAGGTCAAATCCAAACGAAATAGTTTTAAATTGCATTTTATAAACATTTCTGCTTTTTTAGTATATTTGAAACCAGAACGTTCAGAGGACGTTTTAATATATTAGATTGGGGCAGAAGTTTTGTTAGTTTTGTGAGCTCAAGCTCTGAGTTCTGCAGAGCAAAATAAACGAACGCTTCAACTAGTAGCTAAAGCAGAAACTTCGCTCTTCCAGGTTTGCATTTCTGAGGCTGCCAAAGATGAGCATTAACGACTCGTTACTATTCTCTTCTACCGTGATGTGAGTTTAACCTTGGCTTAAGCAAGATGTGTTTAATTGCAAGTCACTGTCGATTAAAGCCTGACGGCAGCGAATGGCTTTACCAACGTTCACCAAGCGTAGTTATTATCTCAAAAAGGAAAGAACAAATTTGCTTCAAGTCACAAAAATCCATCAGTAGTCGATCTTGGAGTCTGATAGAAGGAAGATGTACCAGACACATGCAATCTATTTGTTGAAGACGTCATATCAATGCGAATTAGTGCGCAAGAAACAAACGGTCTTTTACGATGTCTAAGTGACAACATTGTTTCCAACTTTACAACAAACAAGCACCTTGACCAAAACAGTGTAGCAGAGCCGAAGGCTACAGATAACAGAGCATTCTCAACTCGAATCCCGCGAGCGGCATTGGAGTCGAGACAAGATCCTATGTTTCCGAGATGAGAATTTGTTTATAAAGAGCAATGCTGTGGACGGTTGGTGACTGTTCCTTAAAGAGAATCGTGAGTGGATTGAAACGCTTGCTGTTCGCCCCTATGCTGAATCACGCCGGAGGAGAAAATTGATAGATCGAAGGGTTATGTCACTGGAAACGTCCTCTCTTTGCGGCAACGTTGTCATTGCTAAATATGGAACCAAGTTTCGCACTTACTCAAAAAATAGCCGGGTAACGCATAAGGTTGTTGGCAGCTTGCGTTTACTTTAGAACGCCTGCGAGAGAGTGCAAGAAAGAACGATGGTGAACATAAAGCTGATTTTGCACGCTTATAGGCTTGAAGGCATTAATTACGTGGAGCAAGGGCTTATATATCCATACCGACCTTGTGGAATTCAAGATATTAGGTCGTTCCGAAAGTAATGTCGCTTTTTTCAAACGTACGCCACATTTCGTGGAACAGAGATGTGTAAGAGATTCTGGTAGCATTTGATGCAGCATTTCGTTCTCTTTCGAATGGTTATATAGCTACCGCACAAAATTGAATGACCTCTGGGAAAATTATCGGAATCTGCGACACATGCTTTTTCAGAAGGTCAAGTTTCACAATTTTTCCAGTTTTTTATAACAACCCCCGGAAGGAGTCCAAGTTATGTATGGATAGAGCAAACCCTGCGAAAAACAGCACAACTTTTTTCTACTTTTCAGAGCTCATCATAATTTCTGTATAGATTTTTTGATGGAACCACCAAATTTTAACAGGCTCGTCTCAGACACAAATGCATCAAACACAAGAAATCGTCGGATTTTGAAACTTACAAAAATGGATTATGGTTTTACACTAATTTTACAAAGCAAATGAGCGTTTACCGCTTCAGATTAGCAACTTTCGAAAATTCCGGGTACAGCCAGAGGCGCCCTGGAAAACCTGAGTTAAGATGATTTTATCTCGGAAAACTTGATGAATCGAAAACCAAAAACAACTGGTAAAAAGAGGAAAAAAACTGCGTTGAATGACACCCGAGTTGCTTGCCGGTTGTTGTTCCGTGAGGTTTGAGTTGACCAAATATGGAATTTGATGGCATTTTGAAACTGATTCCAGGAACTCTAAGAAGCAAGCTAAGGAAAAGAAAAAATTACTCTCTGTCCTATAGGGTTTGCTCTATCTACTTGCCACTTGTACTTCTTCGGAGAATAGGTACAAAAATTTTAAAAATTGCCGAACTTGACCATGGCAAAAAGCATGAGTTGCAAATTTTGTTGATTTTTCGAAAGCTCAATGAAAATTATGCAATGAAATTACAACCATTTGAGGATGAAATGCTGCATCGAATGCTCTTAAGATCTCTTGAAAATCTTGATTTCATGAAATGTGGCGTTCATTTGAAAAAAGAGACATTACTTTCGGAACGACCTAATATTACACACATTAAATAGGCTAGGGAAAACATAAGGGTTGATGAATCAGCTCCCGAAATGCTTAAGCAGACAAAACATAATATAATGAAGCAATTCTGTATAATTACAGAATACTCCAACCAAAAGAAATGTCGATTCTTTTTCTTTGCATTCAATGTTACAGATAAGCGTTAAATGATGGAGGTCAAATGTGACATGGGAGCAAGAAAAATATTAGGAAGAAGATTTTGAAATAAGTAAATAAAGAAAATACCGTACGGTAAAGTTGAATGGAGTTCTGATGTATTCGATTGCATTTTTTGTTAATAAACTTGAATTTGCTTTCCCTAAAAATGTACCGGTGTTTCCTTCGAGTAAAAGTGGACCATTTGCAATGCAATAAAGTCCACTTTCGAGTAAGCGATAGTTTCTCTGGGTAAAGGGCAATAAACTTTCTATTTAACGAATAAAAAAGTGATTTGCAATCTTCTTCTACATGTGCGGAACTTAGACATTCATGTGAATAGTGAAAGTGCAGATGCTACTTATTGCTACACAATATTATCTGGTTTGGAATAGTCAGTACGCTCTTGTTTTTACAAAAAAAAACACACACGTAACCTCCAGTCATTTGTAACTTAATATGTGAGACTGCACACTATGCCCTATTAGCGACGGCATTCTTACTAGTAACTTTCCATGAAATGTTTTCTAGCCTAACGAAGTGTGGAAATGTGTTCTACTGGGTAACATATGACCAAGAAAAACAAATGAGATAAGCAAACAAAGTGAAATTGCTGGAAATGAGCAGGTTTCAATTTGCAGCTCGTCAGTCAGCGTGTGTAGTTGCACCACGCATGTTAAGTACGAATGACTCGACGGTAGATACTCGTACACTAATCGCCTTTTTTTCTTATCAAACAACCTTGAACCTAACGAGCAAACAATATTTGGATGAACAGTTTACATAAATGCATAAATTTATTCATCCTTAGCGGTTATATATTGGGCTGTTTCAAAAGTTCTACCCGTTATTGATACCTTTTTTGAACTGTCAACATTAAATTAATGTGATTCATAGAAATGGTAGAAATGTTCCTTTCTCTATGACTATAGTTGTCAACATTGAATTAATGTGATTCATAGAAATGGTAGAAATGTTCCTTTTTTCTTATCAAACAACCTTGAATCTAACGAGCAAACAATATTTGGATGAACAGTTTATATAAATCCATAAATTTATTCATCCTTAGCGGTTATATATTGGGCTGTTTCAAAAGTTCTACCCGTTTTTGATACCTTTTTTTGAACTGTCAACATTGAATTAATGTGATTCATAGAAATGGTAGAAATGTTCCTTTTTTCTTATCAAACAACCTTGAATCTAACGAGCAAACAATATTTGGATGAACAGTTTATATAAATCCATAAATTTATTCATCCTTAGCGGTTATATATTGGGCTGTTTCAAAAGTTCTACCCGTTTTTGATACCTTTTTTTGAACTGTCAACATTGAATTAATGTGATTCATAGAAATGGTAGAAATGTTCCTTTCTCTATGACTATAGTTGTCAACATTGAATCAATGTGATTCATAGAAATGGTAGAAATGTTCCTTTTTTCTTATCAAACAACCTTGAATCTAACCAGCAAACAATATTTGGATGAACAGTTTACATAAATGCATAAATTTATTCATCCTTAGCGGTTATATGTTGGGCTGTTTCAAAAGTTCTACCCGTTTTTGATTTTTTTTGAACTGTCGATCTTGGAGGAGAAACCATTTTTTATAAATAATGCTTAATTCAATTGAAAGCTCTTTTCTTCCAATTTTTCAGGCATATTTTCGTTTTTATAGATCTTTGTTCGCTGTGTGGTTGCATACTTTGAAAAGACAGCGGAACAAATGTAAAAATTTACGTTTTTGCTCTATCGCCGTGAAATCTACAGCCAAAAGAAAAAATTTCTTCTAAAACATACACAATGTTTGCTGGAGACTTGCTACGAAACGCTTATCGAGAAATGATTAAAGAAAAATTTTTAACCTACAAATTTTTAGCTCAAACATAACCTGTCTTTAGGATCCCTTCCTTATCGAGATATGATTTCAGAAAAATTTTAAACCTACAAATTTTTATCTCAAACATAACCTGTCTTTAAGATCCCTTCAAGTTGCATAAAAATCATAAGCATATTGCAACGGAACTTTTACTTA